TCAGCTAATAACATTAACGATATGTATGAATTATTTTTATTCATTCTGCACCATGCCATTGATAGATACGTTCCCATGGTTTCAGTCCCACCAAAAACCATTTACCTTCCCAGCTATCTTCGTAAATTATATGAGAGAAGAGAGCATGCATGGAATAGAGTAGTGCATGGTGGGAGCAATGAGAATTTGAGCGAGTATATTAGAATGTACACTATCCTACTATAATAACGCGCTAAGGGTGTTTACGTTTTTTTTTGTGTGTGTGTGTCTGAATGTCTGTCTGTCACGAAATTCATAGCGCGAGTTCCAGCCAACGTCCTGAGCCCAAATCTTGCATAGCGCATGCTACCAGTATAAAAGTCCACCATGCGAAAGCACGAGCGGATTTGTTAAGTGGATCCCTCAGAAATTGCGCGTCAGCCGGGTCCAATTGGCTTTCGGCCCGCATACCGGATCCATATCACCACTTTTTGCAAAGTCGTGGATGTGCTTAGCATCTCAATGTGCAAGCCATGGGCTTTGCTCCAAAAAAGGGATCAAAAGTCTACTACTTTACAAAAACGACGCCGAAAAGTATTGATTGCTCGATGGTCGATTTGCCAAGGTTTTACTTGAGCATTTGAGAAGATTTTTGCACAGAGATGTGGCTCAGAGTGTTATTGTCCTTATAACAAGTACCTAGCCAGAAAAAAGTTCAAGAACCTATTCAAATTTGCATTTGTTCTTCTGCGAAAAATTTCATCCTCTCAAAATTACCGTTCTCACATGGAAAAGCTTTTGGAATGAGTAGTTGTTTACATTTTATTCGTGATATTCGGCATCGTCCGGTGAGTTTCAATGCCATCACAAGGCATGAATGAGTAAGGCGTACAGAGTAGGACACAGCGAGCCTCTGCGAATCAGTTTTCATAGCGCAAGCTGCAGCCAATATTTCGAGCTGATTTTTTGGCTATAGCACGCCGGCAGCACCCAGGTTGATTATGTAAAGAAGTGAATCTGTTTCGGTTGAAAATCGCGAGTCAAACGGATCCACCAGGCATTTGCTAAGGCAAAAATGAGATCCTAATGCAAGGAGTCTGCAGCAAGTGTAAGACTTTTAACTTGGACATCTTCTAAGCCCTGGAATTCATCGCAGATACATAGCAAAAAGTTAATTTCGTGCAAAAGTGGCGTCAAAAAGAGATGACTCAACTGTTCATTTTCAAAACACTCACTGTATAGCTAGAAATATTCTAGGCTGGGGATGTAGCGTGCATCTGTTGTTGTTCTAATTAGCCAACATCGCATTAATAGAACGGATTCAAAATTACACTAACCGTTCACCAAAAAGTTTCGCCACGCTAATTTTACCGGTTTCACATGAAAACCTCGCAGAATGGAAGGTTGTTTACATCATATTCTTCCCGATCAGAATTTTTCGGGGAGGTTCAAAGCAATTTGAGAGATGAGGCAGGGCGCTGTTTAGCTCTGAGGACAAGCATGGACGCGCAGACCCGCACGGCACCATATTCATTGGGTGCATAGAGCCAGTACCTGCTGTGGACGTACCACACTTTGCCTTTCTTAAGAGGAGATATTGCTCAAAAACTATAGAGTAGGACCGATGCGATCCTCTGCGAAGCATCATCATCCACTTTCATACTTTCACCACTTTTTGCGGAGTCGTGGATGTGCTTAGCATCTCAGTGTGCAAGCCATGGGCTTTGCTCCGAAAAAGGGATCAAAAGTCTACTACTTTACAAAAACGACGCCGAAAAGTATTGATTGCTCGATGGTCAATTTTTCAAGATTTTACCTGATTATTTGAGAAGATTTTTGCACAGAGGTGTAGCCCACTATGTTTATTGTCCTTACGGCGACTACCAATCCATAAAAATTCCGAAAGCCTATTCGAATTTGCATCTGTTCTTCTAAGAAAGATTTTATCCATGCGAAAATACCGACCTCACATGGAAAACCTCTACGAATGAGTAGTTGTTTACGAATTATTCGTGATAGCCTAAGCCTACATAGCGCGGTGAGTTTCAATGTCATTATTATGCGGGAATGAGTAACGCATACAGAAAATAGGGCCAGTGCGAGCCTCTGCGAAGCAGAGGTGACGCACTGGTTTTCAATAAAAGGCTTAGGAAATCCAACGCTTCTGTTGAAAGGAAAATAGTCCAGTCGCGGAACAAGGCCCATTTTTTCAGATTGATCAGTTCTAGACTTAAACAAAAGAGTAAGATCGGAGTAATTGTAGATGAGAACGGGACTATAATATCTAATGATTTTGACAAAGCAGAACATTTTGCTGTTGTTTTCGAAACCAATTTCCAAGAAAGTGCCTCCATGAATATCAGTTCACATTCTCCGTGTTTTCCTGTAATGGAGGAAGAACTTGGTTTTTCTACTGATGACATCTATAGGTTGCTGATTTCTGGCCTCACTCAACTTCGCTCACACCAGATCTGTTACCACTACATTTCATAAAATCAGTAGCACACATTATAGCCGGACCTCTTCAATTTTTGTGCAGCTTGAGTTTTATGAGAGCAGAAGTGCCAGCTAGATGGCGCACTTCATATGTTACACCAATACCGAAAAAGAAACCGTATAGTTTTGCAAAAAACTTTCGACCTGTCAGTATTACTTCTATATTTGCCAGACTTTTTGAGAAGATATTGAAGAAACATATAGTCAAACATATGAATAAATACAAGATTATCTCACCGTTTCAACATGGATTTCAAAGTGGTAAATCTACCACTACAGCTATGCTCCAATCTCTAAATGAATGGACACAAAATTTTGATAACGGACTTAATACTGACATAATTTATCTCGATTTTACCAAGGCTTTTGATAAAGTACCTCATGTTAAGTTATTGCAAAAGTTAAACATGGTCGGTATACATCCTCGCATTATCGCCTGGATCAATGCCTTCCTTGAGGACAGGTCTTTTTCGGTTCGCGTCAATACTTCATTTTCCAAACCTCGTAAGATGCACAGTGGAGTCCCACAGGGGGGAGTCCTCTCTCCTGTGTTGTTCAAAATTTATACGTTTGAGCTACCAACTATTCCACTTAACCTGGGGGTTTCTTGTAGTGCATTCGCAGATGACGTCAAGCTGTATGCTGTTGTAGGGGATGTGTCTGGTTATAATGTGTTGCAAAAAGCCCTCGATCAAGTTTATAACTGGTCAAATGATTAGTCATTGCCCATTTCCAGGGAAAAAACTAAGGTGATCCATGTTGGACCGAGAAACTGCATTCCAGAGTTTAAGTATCTTGTGGGGGACTCTTATCTCCAAGAAGTCAACTCAATAAGGGATCTAGGGTTCATAGTTAAGAGTAACCTCACATTTGATGAACACTGTAAAATGATTGCAGACAAAGCCACAAGAACGGTCTTATAATTTGTTTAGAGCATTTGAAAATAAAGATGCAGCTGTCTTCTTGCAAGCGTATAAGTCGTTCATAAGACCCATGTTGGAATATGGTACCGTGATTTACAATCCATATTTGTGCAAAACAATAAACTATATCGAGAAAGTTCAGAAAAATTTCACTCGTAAACTTTTCATACGCAAAACAGGTTTTCACTACGATTTCATTCCAAACGGTAACATCCGGAATACAAACTTGGGACTCTCCTCACTCGCCTACAGAAGGCGCAAATTTGATCTTGTGATGGCCATATGATACATGTGGCTTAGAATTCAAAAAGTTCTTTCCAACCAGAACATCCAGTACAAGGGGAGGTAGTAGAAAGCTCATTATCCCTAGAGCCAGGTTAAAGCTACGCAAGAAATTCTTCACGTGCCGTATTGTTCAGGACATTGATAGGCTTTTGAGACGGCATTTGTTCCCTGCAAAGTTATCCCAGTTTAAGGCTGTTCTCAGGAAGTATCTGCAGTCTAATGATAGCAAATTCTGATCTACTTGTTCTTTCACATGATCTTACAATTTACGAGTTGTTGTGCCATTAACTCTGGTCTTCCATTGAGTTCAGGTAATCTTTGATATTTATGTGTTGTTGTTGTGGTTTTTTGTTGATGTTTTATAGTTCGTGTTGTTGAAATAGGGTTATGCCTATGAATAAATGAATGAAAACGCGAAAAAATGGCAGCTAAGAGAAAAAAATGTGATTTTATCGTCGCACAGACTTACTTTTTTGGTGGATATATCAAACACGGATTGACTTTTATGAAAATTGGATGCAAATCTGGAAAGCTTATGCTCTCCTTCACAAAATCCTATGAAATAGTTGTCGTTAAGTTTCAAGCAAGTGCAAAAATACGGGTCTGGAAATGAAATTTCCAAAACTGCCCGGAAACTCTTTACGAACTAATAGAAATCATTAATATCCGATTGAGGAAAGATTCAAATTTTGCTCTGGGAAGGTAAGCAGCATTTATAGCAAGCGTAGAGTCTTCCTTCTCAACCTCTGAACATAACAGTCATTCAAATCTGTGATAAATGACTCTTCAACTAGAAACTGTAATTCATTTTAACACGAGCTCTTGAGCCGAATTTAACACGAGTCTTCCTATATATCGTATGTTGTAATTGGTTGGGTTACGGTAAGTGCAATGTATCAGCGGTTAATAAAGAGCATTTGTTAAAATTCCCAGAATTCTGTTTCAGAAAGCCTTATGTTCTTTTTGAAAGAAAGAAAAGCAGCGGTGATTCGGGAATTGGATGGGCCACGGACGATGAATTACTGTAACTCCACAGTAGCATCATGGCAATCAAAGTGTCATATAGGCGATTCATCGCACGCAAACACTGCGGACTTCTTGGCGTCTTTCTGACCAAGCGCTCTTTCGTTTCTCTTACCATCTGCCTCTCCAATGCACGAACTATCTTGGTTGGACGCAACCGCACCCAGTCTTTGCGTGTCATGAATCGTTTATACGTATGTATGTATACAGTCCAGCTTTATATTTAGTTAACAGCCTCCCCTCCCCCTTTCTAAGCAATATAGCTTATTTTTCACTGAAAACACCATCAAGAAAGTTCCTCACAAAATTTATTTTCAGTGAATAACATACATGAAATTACGGTATGCTATCAAAGCGATAACAATCTATAACAAATGTTGTGGGTAGGCAACGATACGTAGCGAGAAGAAACTAGGCGAGACGAGGCTGAAATTTTTCCTTTTAAATTGAGCATTATCCACCATGAACTTACCTACAAATGAACATCCATTGGATATTTACACGTGTTTTAGGCACTTCAATCAGATTCTCCGGCCATCAACTCCCAGAACTCTGAAAAATAGGGCCTTAAGCACTGATTGGCAAGCATGATATCCTAAATTGAACTAGATGTCCAACCTTCGAACTCGATCTTTCCAGAGCCATCCTCATCGATTTCATCTACAGCTTCATCCAGTTGTTGATCGGTCAAGTCATCGGCAATCTCTTTCAACAAAGCTTTCAGAGTCGGTCGAGAAATGTAACCGTTACCCTAGAATCAGATTTTTATGTAAAATATTCAAATTCCACATAGAATTTTTCCTATGTTCAAAGCTGTATACTATCAAATGGTGAGGCGGTTTTGCACAACCGTAATGCTGCTAGGGCATTTCTGTGCAGGACTCCGTCGCGCGCGACACCCCCTGCAGCGGCTTTTGGCTGAGCGCAAGGGAATAGGAAAGATTTGACGCGAGCGCGACGTGTTAAGACAAGTCATCGTGTTAAGACAATCATAAAAGTGGCTGCTGGATACTGTTGTACGAAAGGGCCGTCTTCCATGTTCAAAGTTAATATTTTGTTAGATTTACTGTTGAAGTTTTCGACATATCATTCATTGCGAAAAGGATGAGCAATTAAGGACCAGTTCTCGCACTAAAGTAAAATAGGAGATCTCTAATTTCGAATAATTATATTTGAAGAACAATTACATTGTCCTGCACATAATTGATTTCACTTTCATGAATTGCATTGATCGTCTGCTCAGTCAGCAAAAACTTTTCATGTGTTGCCGCTCGACTCCCCCCCCCCCCGCCTCCACATCCCACTCCATCAAATTCCAAAATATTTCCAAGAAACGCCCACCTCCTTGTCGAAAAGCCTAAACGCGTCTCTCAATTCTTTTTGTAACGTTTCCTTATCGACAGTGTTGGCGACGGTGTAGACAAGAGCACAGAACTCATCGAATTCCAACTTTCCCGAACCGTCAGCATCGAATTTACGGATCAGCTTACGTAAGGTCTGAAACTCAAAAACACACTGACAACTGTCATAAAGAATAACAAGAAGAAGACAAAAGGCGAGTCATATGTGCTGTCACATGCATTGCTCACTTTTTGCTCACAAAAAGCGCTAAGGCGTAGGTGGATGAACTGCCTGAACTCACCTTTTCATCGAATTCCTGCTCCATAGCACGCATAATCTGACCGATTTGTGTGGCCATGATGTAGCCTTGCTTACCACGATCGAAGTCATCGAAGAATTTCTGGTATTCTGGAAAGTTGAGATTTGAGAAAATTTAGTAAATTCTGAGTCAGAGCCACTTACCCTCAATCTGCTCTCCGTCGATTTCAGCGAGGATCTCTTCGATATCTTCAGCCTAAAAGGAATATAATTTTGTGAAAATCGGTAAAATTCAAGTGTGAGACTTATAATTCAGTAGAATATGTACTCAGTGCTCGTAAATTACCAAAAAGCAACTAACTTCTTGAAAATTGCGATAATATTTTAGAGGGTATTTTGCGCTTTCAGAGAGAATGCAAACTTAAACTTATGGCAAATATTGACTCCTATTTTTTATTCGTACCAAAATCCATTCATTGCAAATATTCTGATAAGCTCCAAAGCTCTTATTTTTTTGAAGTAGTTCCATAGTCTCTTGAAAAACTGAGTTCAAGCGTTCAGCTACTACGTCAGCGCACAGGGCAAAAAAACTTTGCAGCTGTCATGCGCACAGTTAGCTTGTGAAGAGGTATGCTTCACTTGTAAATAATTATGTTTGTTTTGTTATTGAGCTCAAGCATATGTTCTGTAATCTTTGAAAAAATGAGTCTTGTACAAGTGGCTGAAAGATGAAAGCTGATTCCGATGAAATTCTGTTTTCAAGGGTTCCTACTTAGAAAAAGGAATAAATTAATCGTAAGCGTAAACTGATGTTCAAAAATTGTTGTAAGATGCGCTTCAAGTAATGGTTATCAATTTCGTTTGTATGAAACTACTCACTTCAACGATTCTTTATTTTGTTGAAAGCAAAAAAGAAAAAAATCGTAAATTTTGATTTAACGTTACGTAATCCTGGAACCTTGCTTTCTAACAATTCATATAGATACTTTTTACTCTGAAAAAACTTACTTCCCAATGTTAAAACAAGTTTTATAGACCTTCCTTCCTTACTGAGAAGTTCCGGGGAAGGTCTGTAAATACTTTCATTCCGTCTAAGGGCAGGAACGAAACGAAGACTTTTGATTATTTACACATTGCGGAAAACATTTCTTCTTATTATTGACCAAAATTGTCTACTAATCGTTCGGATCGTAAAGTTCACAAGTAAATAAAATTGGAACTTTTCCAAATTTTATAGTATTGATTCGATCTTCTATGTTCTGGACAAAGTATCGCCTCCTACCCGTTGTTATAACGTCAGCTGCCATTAAGCGCTAAAAGAAACAGGCCTCCGTCAGAAGTTTACAACCTCGACGGAGAGCCGACGTGTGATAGTTTCGGGAAGAGATGGGTCATAGGATTCAATTTTCAAATTAAATTGGGTGTTGAACTATGGCAGCGGAAACTATTGTTTAAGATTACCGTAATCAAAAATGAATTGCTGCTGAATTCCAGTAATAAAACGCTGATATTTGCACGTATTTTTTTTCAGAGATTCAGAGAATTTTGAAATGAAATAATTTCCAGAATGGCAGGCAAGAAGGCCTGTGATATTTTGATTTCGAATAAATTGAGTTGAGTTTTTGCTAAAAGTAACCCGAAAGCAGATTTTCCGAAGGAAGAAAGCTGATAAAGTTTGCATGATTACAGTCCTAATAAGGTTCTAATCGCCATCACAAAGTTTCGAATCCACTGATCCATTACGAAAATTTCGAAATATAAAAAAAACCCACCATCTTCCAAGTGGATCTATCGGACGACTGGCCTTCGTGGCTTTCGGAAGGAGGGGCTCACAGCTGGCGCGCGCTGCCGCGGGGGAGTATTACAGCGATCCTTAGCTGAGCCCCTGCTAGCTACCCTTTCTCTTCGGACCAACGTAAATTTAGATTTGTGCGGAATGACAAGGGATGAGCTTGATCGAAACGCGACATATCTAAGATATCAATGGGAGTCTCGACTAAGTATGGGTAATCTGAGTTTTTGTGCTGCAGTAGCTTTTCTTGAGCATTTTTTAATGAGAGATCAAATAAAAAACACATGTTTTTTGCATGAAAATGCACTTTGTTGGATATGACTCACATGCCCAAGCACTCAAGGACCCCTTTCCAAAAAAGATCTTCATTCTATTGTGCTCAAAGTAGACTCAGACCACCCTTGAATGAAAGTTTAGCTACTTGTATGCATTGTACACAATAGCCTGAGTGCTTATTCAACCAAGACTACAATATCATAACTTATAATAACGGGCTAAGGGTTGTTTACGTTTGTCTGTCTGTGTGTGTGAATCTCTGTCTGTCACGAAATTCGTAGAGCGTGTTCCAGCCAACGTCCTGAGCCCAAATTTTGCACAGCGCACGCTACCAGCATGAAACCTCAATATACAAAAGCATGAGCGGATCCGTTGAGTGGATCCATTGAAAATTGCGCGTCAAACGGATCCACTTGGCTTCTCGCCAGCAAATTTGGGTCCGTTGTACTACTTTTTGCAGAGTTAAGGATATATTCGACAAGCTAATGTGCAAGCCATGGACGTTAGCCTAAAAAAATCATGAAAAGTCTACTACTTTACGAAAACAGCGCCAAAAAGTATTCGCTGTGTAAACGGTCAAATATTCAAGATTTTACCTGATTATTTGAGAAGAATTTTGCACAGAGGTGTAGCCCACTATGTCTATTGTCCTTACGGCGACTACCAAGCCATAAAAATTCCAAAAGCCCATTCGAATTTGCATCTGTTCTTCTGGGAAAGATTTTATCCACGCGAAAATACCGATCTCACATGGAAGACCTCTACGAATGAGTAGTTGTTTACGAATTATTCGTGATAGCCTACATAGCGCGGTGAGTTTCAATGTCATTATTATGCGGGAATGAGTAAGGTATACAGAGCATAGGGCCAGTGCGAGCCTCTGCGAAGCAGAGGTGACGCACTGGTACAAAATAACCACGTCGACGAAATCAAAAAAAGGCATAGCGACCATAGCATTTCATAATAACAACCATGCTTCTTGAAGAGCGCAAATGCTTAACTCAAACAGTTTCACAACAATTTCAGAATTTTCTACTGTTCCCTTTCTTCACCTCACCCTCAAGTTCCAGGTGGAAATGAAAAAATACTTCAAGGATTTGACGCGGATTCTCTCATTTTTCTCAGCAACTATGGAAACGAGGCAATTTTTTTAGTTCTTGGTATTCACCAGACTTTCAACTCATCGTTTTTGCCTTGTCTGGCTTTAGCTGATTTACAAAATTTCTACTGTAGATTTTCGAAGAGGTATGCATGATATATCGAGTTATAGATTGCCTTATAAAGGAGAAAATCAGCGAAAAGTCCAAAAAAATATTTAGCGAGTGGCTTTTCAAAAATGAGGGTGTTTTCGCAGTCAAGTACTAAAAACTATCACACGGCTAATAGAAATTTTTACAAAACTAATTTCAGAAAATTTATAATTTATATACAAGCAAGAACGGAATATCCGCACAAAATTAACTTATTTTGGACTAACCACTCGCAAAAAAGTTTCGTATTCTCGAGTGCGTCAATCACTGTTGCGTATCAGGGCTCAGCACAGCTGGCACCGGGTCAAGCTGGATATCGTTTTTAGGGCGGAAAGCAAAGGGGATATCGTTTCTACAGGGGCCGAGGCGGAGAACTGCCGCAAAAATGCCGCCGGCATGCCACCGGCATGCCATTGGCAAGCTGTCCATCAACAAACAAAGGCGTTGTTTTCAGCCAAAACGCAATAGTATGACACCAAATTTGGTGTGTGCATGCGCGTTGGTGGACCGGAACTACGGGCCAAAAATTTATGAAAACTTATGTGAATGAAAGCTGTGCCCAACTTTTTTCTGAATTAGCTGGCACCGTGCCAGCTGGGTGCCAGCTGAGCTGGCACCGACACTTTGCTCACATAAGTTTTCATACTTTTTTACATAAAATGTATCTACACTGTAAAAGATTACATACGGATAAGAAACATCTTCATAATGTTCTCTTTTCAGCGTTTTATAGCAATTTGAAAACCACTCGGCCCGCTCCGCAGCCGAAAAATCGGCTTTTTCTGCTTCTCAATATGTGATTCGACCACTTAAAAAGCTCAGAAAGTTGTGAAAAGTTCTTTCATGAATCAGAAATGAACACTACTACATTTTTTACATAATATAAAAATGATGACGGGTTTTCAAAACAGGTCAAAAGGGACTTCGTACGAAATTTTCAATATCAAACGGGACTTCGTTTTGAAATTTCCCTGGTGCCAGCTCGTGCCGAGCCCTGTTGCGTATTGCTGTGCGGTTTCGCAACAAATTCTCAGCTTGAGCAGTTCATAAATCCACATAAAGAACTGCTCAGATAAATACATAATAGCTTAAAGCAGTCATGGAACTTTGTACCAGTAAATATAGACTAGAGACCAGGAACTGATCTTGAATAAGTGCGAAGGTAAAGCTTTTGACACTTTTTCCGAAGTTTGCGCCAGTATCTCTAGTGTAATGAGTACATAATAGATACCATACTCCTGCTCTTACCAATGTGATAAAGTTTCGCTCGATACAAGTGAACAGCTGTCAATTTTTAAATCATGTCGACCTTCAGTCGAGAAGTTGCTGAAATAACTGCGTGAAACAATTGCACACAAGGAAGTCAAGCCTTGCGTCACTTAGAATTTCTAGAAATGAATTAAGAGCTACCCTTTGATTCAACTGCCTTGACGGCTGGAGGGCGGGGCTTCGTTACCTAATTACTAGATAATGATCAAGGAGCACGCGCGGGTGATACGCAGACTTTGTCGCGGGCGAGAGCTGCCTCAATTAGGTCACAAAGCCCCGCCTTCCAGCTGCCACGCCAGTTGAATCGTAGGTTAACTGCTCAAGTCCTGCAACGAAAAGTACACAAAGAAACATAATCGCCCCAGAGTGTGGACTGCAGGAACCGCTACGCCTTTCGGAGCCCAAGACACTCCAAAAATACCTGGGAATGTCGAGCATATGATTTTCATCACAGAATTTTATCTTGCACTTCTGGGTATTACTGAATTTAGTTTCGGGCCATCACTTTCAGATCATCTTGGCGGAAATGGCGAACCTTTGAAGCAGTATCTTCTAGATCAATTTTTTTGCTTCAGAACACCTTTTGCAGAGGGAAGGGGGAGAGATTGAGAATTACTCTGTGAAGGTCTCCCCTGTTATAAAGCACAGAAATCCCATCATCTTGAATTTTGTGGATGGTGCGTTCAATATTCTCAAAACTGGGCAATAAAGCTTTTATTCCGCATAGTGTCGCATGAGATCTACTTTTGATATATGTTGGGACCGCTACAAAGACGCTTTCATGATTTTAGGGCAACTCATGAGCAAAAATGTTTAATTTGTGATGCATCCAGCTTATTTTAGACCATTGTATCAAAATTCATCAAGCAGTTTTCAACACTAGCTTTGTCTAATGAAAGAAAGAAACGGAAATCTCTATACAATGGAATTTGCGCTGTTTACTCGTCTCTAAAATCGATAAATCCATCATTTTGCACTTAGTTTATGTTTTATATAAAGCGGAATGTCTGTTTGTCTTCTGTCTGTGTGTACGTAAGTGCCTGACAGAAAATTTTATTTCTGAACCAATCCCGATCAAAACTTGGCACACAGACACTACGGGGCGGGGAGCGTGCCATAGACTACTTATCGATACTGGTCGATATTGATTGTCGTTTTTATCGTTTCTTTGCGAAGTTAGAGCTGCGGGGCTGAGAGTAGGCATAGGGGTGAGTGAGCATGCTGAGTACGACTACAAAATTAGTTTTTGGATTTATCAATCACCTTTATCGATTTTATCGATTTTTCGCAAAGTTCGAGCTACGGGGCTGAGAGTTGGCACAGGGGGTAAGTGGGCATGCCGATTTCAAAAATAAATCAGGGATAGGGAATTAACATGTAGAAGTGGACACATATAAAGGTTGAAGTACGAATGGGACCTTTATCATGGTGTTTCGACAGGACCAGGCGGAGCCAGGTATGCCATCTAGTTGAAATATATTCGTCCTGTAGCTTTCTACATGAGGTTTACTCAGACTCTTGAAGAACAATAACTATGAAGATAGGTAGAAAAACTCCAAAGTAAATCTTGATTATCGATGTTTCACAAAAATTCATCAAATAATTTATTTTGAATATGTGGTCGCTGATTTAACGAAGCAATGATTGTTACTCTCTTAATGTACAATAACCGTCGATAAGCTATTACTTTTTTGTTTTGCTTTTTTTCTTGACTTTTTGAGCTTTAGATACTTTCTTTCGAGGTTTTGATGACTTTTTAGGCCTCTTCTTCAAGTTTTCTTTCGATTTCGTCAATTCTTTCGATTTCTCTGTCTTCTCTTTCGATTTTTCTGCCGATTTTTCTTTCGATCCTATAGTTTCTTTGCTGCCACTGACAAGATCCTTGCTGCCATTACGGATAGTTTCTTTGCTTTCTTTGGAAATACTTTCTTTGCTTCCATTTTTGATACTTTCCTTGCTGGTTTCCTTGCTGGCACTATCAACTGGGTACGCTGCTGGAGGTAGCTTCATCGGCTCCACTGGAGATTTTGCTGGTCCAGCAACAGGTGTGCTAAGTGTTGATTTTATAGGACTTATCTGAAATATTTAAGCACTTTTTTCAGAGCTTTTCCAGCAATGACGGATGGCTGGGCAAACTAACAGGATGCGAGTGAGAGCGGTTGGGGGGGAGGCCAGAATGCATATTATTCTTCGATAAGCATTTTCATTGCGCAAGATGAGTTGCAATTAATAACTTCTGTGTTTTACTGCCAAAAAATATCAGGTTATTCGGAGAAAATTTTCGCTTTTGCAACCAAAAATATGAAGTTTCATAACTTCATTCAAAACCACGATTTGATCCGAACTCAGCACTATCTTGCTCGACACATTCTTGTCTCAACGTCCCAGCCAAGACCTGCACAGCTCGAACCGGGTCAAGATATCGCATATTTAAGGGAAAGCAAAGGAATTTTCGATTCTGTGGGGTCCGGAGCAGGACTCGGCACGAGGTGGCTAGATGAAAATGGAAAAAACGAAGTCCCCCTTGACTTTTGGGAATTTTTACGAAGTCCCCTTTGATCCTCAGCCAAATCTATATATATATATATATATAAAATTCAATGTCTGTGAGGATGTTGTTTAGTTGTTCGTTCGTTATAGAAACGCCAGCCATTGAACCGATTGAGCTAAAACTTTGCATGCGTATGTTTTCGACCCCGGCGGTGGTTTAGGGCTACTTTTCGCGGCGATTCACTGGGCCCTTTCATCGACTTATTGATTTGTTTACTCAAATCTAGAAGAATGAAAACTTTTCATGCTCCGATCATTTTTCCATGATCATCTAAGCAGGGCGGTTGAGTCCATTTCCATCTCAAAGTCGGGAGGATGGGTAAGTCGTCTCAAAGCGCTTTTTGCGCACGTTTGAAGAAGTTTAGAAGCTAAGTTCACACATTTTGTTAGCTAAACTAATTTGGACCCTCGGGTGTGGCCGGGCTATCAGCTAGTTTCCTCTAAAAACCTGAAAAATTCCCCAAAATCCCCCAAAAAACGAAACGTCGACTAAAAAAAGAAGAGAAAAACGTCGCCAGGTCGCCAATTTTGTGTTTCTCTTCGGTCACAGAAACGAAACCCCCTTTGCTTTTCGTCCCAAAAAACGATACCAGCTGGCTTACAAGCCACCTGTGTCGAGCCCTGGCGGAGTGGAGATGACTGCAAATATTGCAATATATTCTATCCGAAACAAACAAAAGCGTTATTTACAACTAAAACAAGGCATGACACTAAATAGTGTGCGCATGCCCGCGGTGGGACCATAGGTGCGATAGGGGGAGCAGGTTCCTCTCCAGGTGAAGGGGGTTTTGGCTACTTCCGATCTAGAAAAGTGAAGAGGGTAACTGAGTCTTAAGATGAATGCTGACGCAGCTTGCATGCCTAACAGTAGCGGGAGTGAAAAGAAGGAAAATAAGCGCTATAGAGGTGTAAAATGGAAATTTTCTCAATGCTCAGGTCATCGAAGGTCATCTAATAGAGACTTTTTTTGACTTGGGAAAGCTTTGTGTTTCATAAGCCGGTTTCTATGTGTTTCACCATACGAAAGCTTGAGACATATAGAATCGACGTAGACCGTCTCTTTTTCTTTCAGCTCTCTTGTGAATATACATACAAGAAATCAGATCTAGCTTCAGCATCAATTATTTTTATGCAATCACTTTGCGCTCCACTTCTGAGAGAAAGAGGGAAGCTAGAAAAAAAGAGACGGTCTACGTCTACTGGCAAGGTCTTGCTCTATGCTACTGTTAGAAAATCAGGCACCTTCACTCATTCTTCACGCAGGAATTTCTTGACAAAAACACACATGTTTTTAGCTAAAATGCCATGTATCTTCAGGTAGAGGGGAGCTAGAGAAAAAGAGACGGTCTACGTCGAATCCATTTTTTGTGGGCTTTCTAACGGTTTACAGGTTGTTGAGTGAAAAAATTTGTGGCTTTTCAAAAATGAGGTGGAGATATTCAATACTAACTTGCTCCACCCTGCTCCGGCTTTCTATGGGTAGTCAGAGCAAGTTTTTCGGATTGGGAAAGCTTTATCCACCAAAACTTTGTATACCATTCGATAGCTAAGAACACGAGGAATCGACGTAGACCGTCTCTTTTTTCCTAGCTTCTCTGTGAAGCGAGATAGGAGCAATTTTACCCAGCTATAATATCAGTCAATTCTGAGTAATTATTTTTTCAGACCAAGAAGTTTTTTTTTCGAAGTTTGTATATGATTCGAAAGCTTGAGAAACGAGTAATCTGAATGCCCTTTTATTTGTAATTATTCTCTTTAGTGAAAGGAGATGTAGTACGATTCTTGTCAGTAAACATGCATCCATCACTGGCTAGTCCAGACTTTCTACTCATGCTCAACTCTTTCTGTGACAGTGTGTACTCATTAATACAATGTTAATTATTCAAAGAATCAGTCATCCTTTTATTTGATTATGTTTCGTTACTAACGCCACTTTGAGTGCGCTGAAGGTCTCAAGCATGCGTTTTTTCAACAAAACGCTGCTACTTCGATACTCTCTTGTAGTCGTGATGTCTGAGGAGAAGAGAGCTGGCTTCCCTTTCCGAGCACAAAGTGCCGTTGTAACAGCTGTTTGATTATGCCTTGATTCTAGTCCCAACCTCAGGTGAAAGGGGTCAACCAGATGCCGGCCCTAAAGTGAAGGGGGTCAGAGAAATTTCTCCACCTATCGCATCTATGGGTGGGACTCAGACTATGGCACAACAACACAAAATATGAAAACTTATGTGAATAAAAGTCATGTTTAACTCCTTGAAAGTTTTCGTACGAACAAAAAAAGTTTCATAATCTTTCCTTCAGGCTTCTTTATAGCCCTCAAAAAATTTTCATTGACGGCACAATCCGCTCCGATCGCAAAGCGCACTCCAAGCATACCAAGTTCGGTGGCGAGTATGCTGATGACCTTTCTATTTACTTTTCTTTTTATGTTCTTTTCTGGTGCTAAGGAGGAAAAAAGGTCAAAGAGTGACCTCGTAAAAACATTTTAAGAATCAAAAGGGGCTTTGTTTCACAATCTTCCTAGCTTAGTTGGTGACGGGCTCTGTTCTCACCAGTGCATTTAGTTTCGAAGTCTGTTTCCAGAAAGATTTTTTGGAAGACCGTTTCGACCTCATTCTCTTTATCAAACATGGTTGCATTGTGTCCAGGATCGAATTCATAAAGGCGATGGTCGAAAATCTCGTATTTACTTTTTTTTGAAGTTGTAAATTATCGATGGATGGAGTTTGGTCAATTTTTCACTGACAGAAATTAGAAATCACACCCTAGTTGGTGATATACCTGTGAGTTCTGAAGTTTTCATCAAGTTTCAGAAAATGTGGCATCAATTCTGAGTGCATGTAAAATCTTCCGAGTTACCTAATGTGGGTCGTAGCACCCCTCCTCCCCTTCACTCCCTGTTTAAACGACCCTTTTTTCCTCAAGCCCTTGCCAACGCCATTGTTCCGCATATTGCATCACTTGTAAATCCAAGAACCAACATTACTTACACTTTCCTTCGAATTCAAAGTATACTGCTGAGACAACTAAAAATTTTGAAATTACAGGGTTTTTGGCTTTACACACAAAACAACAGCTGACCCCTTCGAGCCGTTCTATTTGACTACCAATAAAAACTATCGAATTCTGGCTCGTGTCGAACTGTATATCTTTGAGACTTTCGGATTTCTCGTCATCGAGCAGATGTTTCTGTAACGCTGCTTATATTCCTAAAAGTAGCTGAGAGAGAAAGCCACTTACAACACTCCCTTTGTATGCAGCTTGAAGTACTAATGGACCTTTTTTCTTGAATTCTTTCGGGTTCAATTTCGCAGCAGGTACTTGCCGAGGCCTCTTTCTCTGTAAAGCAAACGAAGCATTTTGTGCATACATAAGTTACTCTGCATAATGTTCTTATCAGATTTGCCAACTATGCCCCCCCCCCGTAGTCCTTCTTACATCCAAATTTTATAAGTTAGCATTATTTGTACGAAGATTACTCAACTTGTGCGTTATTTTACAAAACGGGTTGCAAAAACGATTTTATATAGACACCTCATAACAAGCAGGCTTTTTTTGGAAGCTTCCTTCAAACTTAGCTCTTATTGTCGCTTCTGCTTCCGATAAGGCGCTTCGTCTCCTTTACCTTTTCATGTAGGAACATGATTTACTTTTTCAAAAAACAAGCAAAAAAATTGGCGTAAAAAATTGATTGGATCATGAATTTTTGAAAGTAATGCGACAGAACTTTCGGGCAAACCTGACAATTATTATAGAATGGCAACGTTACCGAGTCGATGACCCCTCTCCCCCTCACATGAGTATTAGCGCCTTGTGCATTTGGAAGCAGTTTTTTTTATTGTATACCACCAGTTTTTCTGCGTTTTTGTTTTTCATATTTAGCCCCCAACAATTGCGCAAAAACTCAGACCTTCTTTTTCTTCTGCATTATCCTCAGTCGTCTCTCTTGTTCCATTTCGGCGACTGCAAGGAGCTTTTTGCTCTTTAACGATGGATGCTTCCTTTTACTCACGTAATTTCAGCTTAGCAGCTCTTGTTCGGCGATGGTCATAGTAGACATAGGCCAGAACTCCCATTACAAGTAGCGCGGCAAGCACCCACAGCACAATGATTCTGTGTTTCAGTTTTTCGTTTCCAAGATTCAGTGGAAGTTTAAACTTACAAGGTGTAATCATCTTTCTTTCTTTTCTTTCTATGTGTCGTAGTTCTGAAAAGCACACATATTTGACAACTCTAACACAGTGTAGGTAGCCGGTTGAAAAATGGGCGCTATTCCACATAAGTTGACCCAAAAAATGAAGATCGTGAATTTCGCTAAAACTTCGTCTATGGAGGTTATTTGGTACGCTGAACACGAATGTGATGTTTATTTCGCGCAACAGCGCCATCCGGTGGAGTTACGGTAGGATTACGGTAGGGGGTCAAAAGCACGGATTTGCCCGAAACTTGGCCTAGAGGGGTTATTCGGCCCGCCCGCTGGCGCCGAATATCACATTGGTTTCGTACTGTAGTACCATTTTCTCGAGTTACGGTGGGTGCACGGTAGGGGTCAAAATCTCGAAATTCGCTGTAACTTTGCACAGAGGGGTTATGCGACATGCTGATTAGAAATCTTAAACTTTCTCCGCACGAAAACGTCTCCCTGCGTGGTTACAGTAGGTTTACGGTAGAGGTCAAAATCACAAATCGGCAAATGTATCTTTTCCCTGTGCTTTGCTTAGGCAAAAGCCGCAGCAGAGTGTGTAGCGCGCGGCAGTGGTCATGTGTGCAAAGCTTCACGATCATCCGAATCGCCATACACCCGTTTCGGGATGAACTATGTTTTACACCCGTTACCGTGTATCTACCGTAACCCGAGAAAATGATGCTACGGTTCAAAGCCAATGTGATATTTGGCATCAGCGGGCCGAATAACCCCTCTGGGCCAAATTTCGGGCAAATCCGTGATTTTGACCCCCTACCGTAATCCTACCGTATGTGTACCGAAAAATGTGTGATACCATATTTCGAAGTTTTGACGAATACTGAATGCGACAACTTTTGCGCCCGAACAGTGAAAACTTGCTTTTTTGGAGCTCGTATATGTTTCGCTAGCAGTCTTATTTATGACCGGGTTGTATTTATGACCGGCTTAGAATGTTGAAAACAAGATTTTGCAAATTTTGCATAGAACTTCGTATGGGGGCGGATGTCACTAAGGCCCCCGCCAGAGTGCCGAAGCCACGCCAGCACTACGCCGGCGCCGAGCCAGCGTTTCGATCGATACACGTGTATTTCGTTGGGGCGGGGCCCTGGCTGAGAATTAGGTCAGCTAGCCTCGCCCCAACAAAATACACGTGCATCGATCGAAACGCTGGCTCGGCGCCAGCGTAGCGCTGGCGTGGCTTCGGCACTCTGGCGGGGCTCTAAGCTTTTCCACCGAAAATTATTGATTGGCTTTAATGATTTAGTGATTTTTCGTGTTTCCTGCTTAGCTTTTAATATTTCCGACGCAAAATGATCGAGAGGAAGTTCTCTGCACCAGACTTTGCAAATAGAGACTTTGGGGCGGGCGCGTTTACTAGCATGGCATCTGATCCCGAAATATCATCGTTACCAAAAAAGCTGCATTTTCGTCAAATCCACTGGACGATACTTCCTCCAAAATCTGAGTTTTCTCATGTTTTGCATGACATTGAAACATAAACCAAACTTACTTTGTTATGGAGCTTGTCGTCATGTTGACAACTGGAGTTGTACTTCTTATTGTGACCGTTGGGAGAGTCTTGACGACTACAGGCACCACAGGCACGGTTTTGTTCGCTGTTGTTGTTGCTGTTATTAAAGGTGCAGTTGTTGTCTTAGTTGTAGGCTTCGTTGGTGTCGTTGTTGTAAGTCTTACTATAGGAGGCACGGCCCTGGTCGTGCTTTTTGTCGTGCTTCTTGTAGTGGTTTTTGTCGTACTTTTTGTCGTACTTTTAGTGGTAGAAGTAGTCGGTTTCGTGGTACTTTCCGTTGTCGTCGTAGTAGGTAATGTAGTAGTAGGTTCAGTTGATGTTGTACTTTCTGTGGTTGTTGTTGGAGTAGGAGTAGGAGTTGTAGGAACCGTGATTGTAGTAGTGGTAGTAGTAGCTGTTGTTGTAGTAGTAGTCGTGGTAGTAGTAGGCGTAGTCGTAGTAGTGGGTATAGTAGTAGTAGTAGTAGGAGAAGCAGTAGTAGAAGTAACCGTGGTAGTTTTCGTAGTCGTTGTTGTAGGTATAGTCGTAGTAGGAGTAGTAGGAGTTGTAGTGGTTTCTATAGTCGTAGTTGTAGGTATACTCGAGGTTGGAGTAGTTGTAGAGATTGTAGTAGTTTTAATGCTTGTACTTGTAGGTTCGATCGTAGTAGAAATACTAGTAGATGGTTCTTCAATAGAAGTTGATGCCGTACCACTGGTGCTAGGCGTAGTAGTAGCCGCAATAGTAGTTGCAATAGACGACGATGAAGGCACTGTCGAAGATATAGTAGTTGAGGCCATACTGGTCATGGCAGACGTAGTAGGCAATCTAGTAGTAGCAGCTGTAGTAATCGTTGTAGTCGCTGCTGCAGTTGTTTGCGTAGATGTACTTTCTGCTGCAGAAGTGGATTCCTTCTTGGTAGTGGAAACTGCTGATGTAAAGGTCGACGCTTCAGTGCTTTTCTTCGCAACCGCGGATGTTGAACGTAGACTGGTACCACTCTTCGTACTGGTAATATCTAAAGCTGTTGATTTATCATCGGAATCTAGAGCTTTCAAGTAAGGCCTTTTTAAGCGAAGTAGATATTCGAGGTGAGACTTCTGTTACTGAAGTCACTGATGAATGCTGATCTCATAAACGCAATTATTATCTGCGAAACGCTTTTTAAAACAAATTCATAAGTTTGGCCATGTTAACACATCATTTGGTATAAACTACAGATATGTGCTATTATGAGATGTAATGCAACTGTGATGATTTATTTCACAGAAAAACGATTGTTCAATTTCAGAGGCAGCGCTTTTGCATTTTTGTTTTCGGCCCACAGCCCTTCTTTAAGAAGTATTCGCAGAAAAGGTTTGCAGTTTCGGGGTCAGCATCAGAAATATCTTGCTAAAGTCAGCATCCATTGCTGACTTTAGCAAGATATTTCTTTTTTCAAGTGGCCACTTCAACTAGTGAAGCATTCCTCGTCAATATAAAAAACGAATTCCTCTAACTTTACTTCATTATTATGCGCACAAGCTTCAAGACAAACAGTTAGTCTTACGCTCATCTTGTTAGGTGTGAGTAAAAAAGTCTAGGCACTTTGAGAATTGATATGTAGTCTATCAAATTTCCGTAGGTTGGCAAAACATCGCTGCTATGTCTGTGATACATTAGCTCGTTGTAATGAAAGCTCTTATGACCCCTTGGAAAACGATGGGTCGACGTTAGATTTGCTACGTAAATGCATCCTTCGTCACATGTTTACTGTGAAGCTCTGCGTGATTGCAAAGTTTGTTTGTAGTTCTTGCGCAGGATGCTACAAAACCTCAAACAAACCAAACAAGCTCCGTACCTTTTAAATCTGCTTTAGATGATTGACAGAAGAAAGAAAACTGAAAAAGCTGAATGTGCTAGCAACGGCCGCAAGCTCATTGACCTTCGCAGTAACGCAAAGGGCTATACGTAATAGCAATGAACTTCCAAAATTTTAAATTATTTTTCGTTAGAATTCGTAGCAGCTCTTAGAAAGTAAAGCGCGCTTTCATTGAACGCTACACTGCATACGGCAGTGAATAGTTATTCAAACATTGATACGCCACTCTTATAACGAACCTTAACATCTCAGCTGTTAGCATTTTGTTGACGGCCCGCGATATTGTTCGCACTTCATATAATTTGAGCTAAATATTTATGTATGGTGAGGAGATGTTATTAGACAGGCTGATTTCAATGTCGGAAAATCTTCGCGGTAATTTAGTGGCGTTATCGGAGATATTTTGAGGGACTTAGAGTGTTTTGACTAAGTCTGGAGAGTAATTTTGTGTCTCAAAATGCATTAAAATTTACAAAATAACGGAGGGTTATTCATTTTTGCCACTAACTTGTTCAATATAGTTGAGGTGAAACGAGCGTTTCCACTTTATCGGATATATAGAGCTTCATTCCATAAGATCTGTTAACATGTCAAGTACAGAAAATGGAAGACCTGTGAAAGTAAGGCAAGCCGAGATACTGAAAGCAGGCGAAGAAAGACGAAATCCCAAGAAGAAGGGGCTTTTGAATGTCACCGCTGGCAGCACTATCAAACGAAGAAGGAGAACTTCTATACCGACCTCTTTCTCTCATAAACGCCCGTGCCAATGCCGATGTTCATTGGAGAAGTACCATCACAAATTCTACCTGCTGAAGTGCGCTGCGCAATCCGCAAAGAGTTCACGGCTTCAGAACTAGAACACCTGTCGAGCTTTTGCCGGAGGCTAGATCTACATAAAGCTGCATCGCATGTAATGCCTTTCCAGAAGGAAGAAATTCCCGACCAGTGCTGAGTTTCAAAAGCGTTCTTTATGGAGGAGAAATGTTTTTGAACGTGGAGCATATTAAATCTTCAATTCCTTCCGGTCGTTGTCAAAAGGTTGCGCTTCGTATAGGTGAGTACATTACTACAAGAAGTTGAACCGTGCTCAATCTTCGTGCTATATACTTGTTAAGGGTCTTATCTTGATAAATCTCTAACTTGAGGCTTTGGCTGCGACTTTGTACAGCCTTACCATCCCAGTAATCAACGCTTCAGTACTCGCATTGATGTTGCCGCCGTATATCACACGCACCTCTAACAATAAGAAGGTACGTTAGCCAAATTTTTACTAGATATGCCATCTACATGAGCTTTCGCTACTAACTTTCGAGATACTGAAGCGGTCGATATGCAGCACGCTATAACAGCGTTTAGAGGTGCAGCTGTTTCAAAAAAAATCCAACGTAATTCTTGGCCGGAGGCAGTAATCGTTTGCCCTCCCTTTTGTATACAACTTATGTGATCAGCTACTTTGATCCTACTATAATAACGCGCTAAGAGTGTTTACGTGTTTTTGTGTGTCTCTCTGAATGTCTATCTGTCACGAAATTCGCAGAGCGTGTTCCAGGCAACGTCCTGAGCTCAAATTTTGCATAACACTTGCTACTGATGGAAGTCCAACATGCAAAAGCACAAGCAGATTCGTTGAGTGGGTCTCTTAGAAATTGCGCGTCAAACGGATCCACTTTGCATTTGGGCCACAAAATTGGGGCCGTAAATCCAATTTTTGCAGAGTGGTAGATACTTAAGGCAGATAATTGTGCAAGCCATGAACTTAGGCCCAAAAATAGTGATCAAAGTCCATTACTTTACAAAAACGGCCCCAAAAGTATGGTTGTGTAAATGGTCAATTTTCCAAGGTTTGAGCATCTGACGAGATTTTTGCACGAAAATGTAGCTCACGATGTCTACTGTTCTCATGGCAACTGCCAAGACCATGGGAAAATTGAAAGCTATAATAATTTGCGTTTGTTCTCCTGCGAAAACTTTCATCCACGTGAAATGCCGATTTCACATGAAAAAGCTTTAGGAATGAGTATTTGTTTACATCTTGTTCGTGATACTCGGCATCGCTTGATGAGTTTCAATGCCATCATTATGCTAGAATGTGTAGGGCCTAAACAGTAGAGCCAGCGCGAGCCTCTGCGAAGGAGAGTTGAAGCACTGGTACTATATAATTCCATGCTAAAGGAGTGTACGGGCAAGAAGTCGATCTTGAAATTTTGTGCTTACATTGGCCTATTTGATATGCTGAATCCGAAAATCCACGCTGGAGAGCGCGAGCAAGGCGGAAAGGGCTCTAATGCAGCAGAAAATTTAGCAGATGAGCGGGCTCTCAACACCTAGTGAAGCCACCTCCAACTTCAGCAGCGATCCTCTCAGTTCCATTTCAAGTCAAACGTTTGCACTTGGCCGGTGGCGATGTTAGAGCGACTATCGAGGAGATCGCTCCAAAAGCTGGGAGCATAAATTTACAGTGGAGAAGGCCCGCCTACCTGCTCGCTCCTGCGTTAAAGGCAGTGTCCGAGCAAAAAGTCTATTTTGAGATTTTGTGGTTACCCGGGCCTATTCGCTACGCTGAATTGGAAAATCCACATCGGAGAGCACGAAAACGGCGAAAAACGGCTCTAACACAGGAGGGAAATCAGCAGGTGGGCGGGGTCCTCCCCACTGTGAATTCACGCTCCCAGCTTTCGGACCGATCTTCTTGATTTCACTAGCCGCTCTGGCATCTCCACCGTTCAAGTGCAAACGCTTAACTTGAAATTGGAACCAAGAAGATCGCTCCGATAGCTGGGAGCGTGAATTCACAGTGGGGAGGACCCCGCCCACTTCTGTTTTCCCTCCTGTGTTAGAGTCTTTTTCCGCCGTTTTCGCGCTCTCCAATATGGATTTTCGTATTCAGCGTAGCGAATAGGCCCGGGTAAGCACAAAATCTCGAAATCCTTTTTGCCCGGACACTGCCTTTAAAGCCCTTTTTCGCCGTTTTCGCGCTCTCTATCGTGGGTTTCGAATCACAGCGAATAAGTTCACGTATGCACAAAATCTCAATCTTCTTGAGTGAATACTGCTTTTAAAAAAATGTTTGACTATTTGCGAATTGAGTCCCGCTCTACGCATGGCAAAATTAAGAAAGTCGAAGTATTGCTTTTGCAGTGTTTTTGCAGCAGACTATGAAAAGGTACGACGATTTCACATTTCATGTTTCGAACAAGTCTGATGCTGCCGAGATTTTTATCTTTGCCAGGCTTAAACTAGTGTTTAGACTCATATAAACCCCTACCTTGCGTTACTCCTTCATAGTATATGCCAACAAGTACTATCTGGACAAGAAGACATTGAAGAAGTGCAAAACATTGTTGTGCAGGGCTCACTAGTAATGCGAGTGTCCTCCGAAATATCCTTGGGCTCATCACCTCCAGCTAGAGTGCCTGCATATCAAATGAGAAATTGCCAGGGCTTGATTTATTCACGTTAGATGGTGGGAAAAGTCAAAGGAATCATTCGAAGAAAGTGTAAACAAAAGCGGCAGTGCATTTCCTCTGCATCATTCAAAAACCTTCAGTAAGGATGAGGTCGGAAAGGCTATTTTAACAGAAGTAAACTCGCTACTATGTCACACAACGACTTATGACAAGAAAAAAGATTGCGTTTGCATAATGGACTCTCGTATTTTTTCCTCTTATCCATTATCTTTCTTTATTTATTTTTTTTAGAAGCATACAGCTAATGGTTTTGGAATTTAACTCATCCTGTTTGTTATCTAGTTTCTTCTAAGCTCTCTTTACATTTGAAATCTTTATCTAATACAACATGATCTAGAAATAAAAGTAGCATCTGCTTTGCTTCACATGTTTCTCGTTTAGAAACTTCCGAAGGGGAAAACAGGAGCGCGATGCGAGGTGCCTGAGAAATGAGCCGTGTCTGAATAACTAAAATCAGGCTGTGCGAAAATTTGCTTTTTGTTAATGTACCTCTAGATGTGCTGCGAATGATGTTACGAACTTCCAATTGGGGAGTGTGGTAGATGGGATGCTGTAAAAATTTTCTAGAATCATCTGCGAAGTAAATTCTTTGATATTTCACCCCACACTAATGCCCCTCTCCATGCTCTCCAAATGAGCAAAAACGGAAAAGCATCTAACAATGACTAATTCTTGCGTTATTGAATTGCCAGAGGTACGAGTAAGAAAATGTTTGAACAAACAAAAAACTCTTACGAGAGAAGGTGTTAATGATGTATAGATAGGACCATTAGTAAAAGCAATTGGAGGTGGCAGTCCAGGTGCCAAAGGAGCTTGTACGAAAGGTAGAAATGGAACGCCTACAAGATCTTATTGGCAATTATGCAGAGAACTGATCCAATTTTTTAAAAGGGACAAACCATCAACAAACGCATCGAAAGGATAAATCGCAGCTGTTGACCTGAAGTAAAAGAGAAACGATTTGAACAACTTCGGGAATTTGTGGACGTACACCCGAGTAATGACTCCAATAAGAGCAAAGCAGATAGATGAAGTTTTCATTTTGATTAGACGTGATCGTCTTAGGAGAAAATCTCACCCTATTTATATGAACTACAGTGGTTTTCGTTTAGTTGCCTCCAAAAACAAGAAAATGAGTTCATTTGAGTGCAGCAAACCTGTATGAGAAGTGGATTTTTTGCTTGCTTAGTTCATTCATCATAAAGACTCTCATTTCGCTCGAGAAGTAAGCTTTGAAAGGGACTTTAACTAGCTGTTGAACATTAAAGGTCACAATGGCGCTACATCAGATGACTGGAAAAATTTTCAACGACGAGTGAGTCTCTCAAGGTCAAAAGAGAGGTTGAAGAAAGCGTTAAAAAATGCATAGTCTCAAAATGGCCATTTAGGACAAGTTACTATACAAGTAAACGCGCTTGAAACATTCTTTTAGGATTTCTCAAGCTTTTCGAAGCTACTAAGCGCGCGGTAATGCATGCTTAGGCGCTTGAGTGGCACATGAGTGGTTGAAGTAAGTGTTCTGAATGCATAACGAAATGGCAATTCTTGATGTCGGAGTAACTTAAAGAAGTTAGGTAGTAACAACCAGCCCTTTCGTATTTTTATTGGTCGAAGTTTGCTTACAAATAAAAGATAAATTTTATGTGCTACGTTTTCACTCCGTTTCGTCCCTTCCCTTAGACGAAATTTGAGAGTTTATATTTTTATTTAGTTATTTTTTTATTTATTTTTTGAGTTTTTTTAGTCTTTATTTCAGAGTTTTTAAACTTCATCAATTCAAGTTCAAAACTTGAATTGGTGAAGTTTTTTCATGTGGAAAGATACTCAGCGAGGTATTGCATTCGCCCTGCGTATCGGGTACATCTTGTCGGGAGATCGATTCATGGTTTCTCAGGAAGCCATTTATATGCTACAAGATCTTCGACTACTCATTGTGTTGAGCTTTTGTAACTACAACACTAATTAACCACAAACGACTAACTTTCTTTTTAAAAGGCTTGCTCAAGCCATACAAAGATAGCGTTGATAAAATGAACACTCTCACTTTCCAAGAAGAATACAAGTATGATTTATGAAACCACTTAAAAGTATAGAAGGACAAACAATTGTTTCCTTTCGTTTTCACAATAGCTAGATATTAGTCCTATTTCGGAGCCTTCTGCAGAGAAATACTCTTCCAAACCATTTCCGCGTGGTAGGAGATCACTTAAACATTAGGGAAGGAAAGAATGAAGTTTCTGTTATGTTCTACCCCTTGAATTTGAAGGAAATCAAATTCTTCCTCAAAAACCGGGAGGAATTTAGAAATCTTGCATTGAAACACTTGAGTTACGTTTTTAGGGTCCCACCTCAACTTTTGGTAGGTTCTGGCAACGAAGAAATCATCATTTCAAAAACTCTTTTTCAGTGTTCCACGAGCTGTTTCCACAAAAAAATCACTTCGAGATAGAGGCACGGCAGCTTTCAGTGAGCGCACGTTGCACTCTGTCCTCAAATCTTGTCCCAATCTCAGATTTGGGTAATGTCAACTTTTGCAATCCTTGAGGAGCCCTTCAAGTTTTTTCTCAACAATTTCATGAACGCCATCTAAATCCTACTTCATCTTATTCAATCGTGATTCCCTCAGAATAACGAATGTTAACTTACGACCATAGATGCGATAAGTAGAGCAATATCTCTGCCCCTTCATTTTTGGGCTGGCATTTAGATGACACCCTTCATCTGAACTTGGGATTAGGGTTAAGCATGACGGCAGAATAAAAAACATATAAATGGTGCACACTTTGTTTGGAACCGCCGCTGCTGCTTCTCAGCCAGTGCATGACACAACCGCACTTTTACAGCGTTCGCCGAGAAAAACGCAAGCTTGAGACTTCCTCTCTCACTCATAGTGGTTTAGATAGCGAAGTAAAGCTAAAAATGTTGGGGAATGTCTGTTTTCCTTGCATGAGCAACATTGTTAAACGAATATATATTGTCGCAGGAGAAAATTATGCAAGAGTAGGAAGTCTGGTCTGCCCAATGTTGAACGCATGTTCACTGAGAAGAATCGAATATCTTCTTTCATTGAACTGCATGGAAAATAAGAGAGCATCCAGATTCCTCGATTCTAAAACTTTCCATTCACATGCGAAACCTCAAATAATACCTTTACATTACAAAAGTAAAGCGTAAAGTAATAAACAAAAATACCTGATAATGTAGCTAGATAAAATTCCTCATATCTCGCTTTGCAAAACAAATAGAAAAAAGAGAGAATCCAAGTCGATTTATAATTTTTTAGCTATCAAACGATATATAAAGTTTAATGTAAAGCTTTCTCGCTCTTAAAAGTTTTGCTTCGGCGACCCATCAAAGCCAAGCCATTGAGGGGGGGGGGGAGCAGGCTAATAGTAAAATCTCCACCCTATATTTAAAGAGCCACAAGTTCTTTCATCTAACAACCTATATACCTTCAGAAAGCTCACGAAACGGTGATTCGATGTAGACCATCTCTTTTTATTAGCTCCCCTATACTCGGAGATACATGGCATTTAAGCCAAAACATGTGTTTTTATGGAGAAATTTTTATGAAAAGAATGAAAGAAGAAGCCTAATTGTCTAGCTGTGTTATAGAACAAAGCTCTCTCAGTAAACGTAGACGTTTCAATTTTTGGCTTTCATCTTCCTTTCAGAAATGGAGCGCAAAGTGATCGCATAAACTCAGCTAATACTGCAGCTAGATAAAAAAATTTTATATCTGAATTTACAGAAGAGCTGGAAAAAAGAGACGGTCTACGTCGACTCCACACGTTCGAAGCTTTTGGAAGACTTGTCGCCTGATGAGCCATGAATTTTTTTCAAATCAGAAAAGTTTGTGTTCGATGACCTTTCAAAATTAAAGCATTGAGAAATTCTTCATGTTACACCTATGTACCACTCATTTTTCCTTCTTTGCACACCGCAGTTCTACACGGCATGTGAGTTTACGTCAGCATTCACCTCAAGGCTCGGTTGCCCCCTTCACTTTTCTAGGTAAAAAATAGCCGAAACTCCTTTTACTTGGAGGGGACCCTGCTCCCCCTATCACATCTTTGCTTATGACCATGCTTATGCTAAAGGCACGTTTAACTCGCAGCATTCACCCGGTTGCCAAAATACCAACCGGGTGAATGCTGCGATCAGTTTATCGCGCTGCCACTGAGACAAAGGTAGGTAAGGATGTATGACGAAGATAGGTGTGCAGTGGCGAAGCATTAGGCAGAAATCCGGTTGGTTGCTCATAATTAAAGGGGACATCTAAGAGCTTACGTTCTCTGCGGTACAGAAACGCGCAAAACTGCACAATAGCGGGGTCCAAGTAGGAAAGCATTGATGAACATCTAACCGCGGCCAGAACACTAGGAAACTTCAAAGAGGGTTTTCTCCTCGTTTTTCAGAATTCTTCTCACATAAGTCAGTAGTTTGATTGTCCTCTTTTCTTGAAACCTCGGCATGTTGTTGATTATGATGTTGATGTTGTTATGCCAATACGAGGTTTGGTGAAGCCTTTTATTAGTGCGGCCTTACATTTCGACTTATCGTCGTCTTCAGAGGCCTCAGCGCCGCTTCACCAATGGCCAGTGCACCATTGGTGAAGCGGCGCTGAGGCCTGTGAAGACGACGATAAGTCGAAACGTAAGGCCGCACTAATGAAAGGCTTCACCAAACCTCGTTTGGCATAACAACATCAACATCTTCTCACATAGTTTTGATAGACGCGTGAGGTTTTCCTATTGATAATAACGTTTTGTTAATGCAAGGTTGAAATATTTACATTGTTTTATATGCGAGCTAAACGGAGTTTTTTATAACGGTCGCGAGTCCTGTCTCGAACGGCTCTGCCCTTGCACTGAAATGCAGTGATTTGCGTGATTTGCGCATAGGAGCATCGCACGAACCCCTCCTTCGTTGAGAGGCATACGTCTGTATTTTTACATGGCGGTCCGTATCGAGATCGATGGCACGATTCATGCTGTGTCGAGGTGCCGTAAGCTCATTTAGGCCCCCCTCATTTATCGCAGGCTTTAAGTTCAAATAAAAAACTTTTAAAATACTATGCATTGAGATACAAGAACGTTGTGTTTTAATCAGTAATCTGCCAAGCTTGTTTGTGAATTTTTCACATCGAGTGATCGACATTTTATCACCCATTATTCAAAAAATTTCTTTTTTAAAAATTGTGTGGAGGAATGCCCTCCGAGATGGTTACTCTTGTTTCTTGAGAAGGGAAAATCATATAACGTTCTTTTCCAAAGCCAGAACTGATAAGAAGTGCTAGAGAGCAAATAATGGAAGTTTCTAATGGATAGCTGCAGAAACTAATCCAAGACATCGTCGATGGCAAAACTTGTGTGTAAAGTTTGATCTGCTTATGTTGTTCAATGCCTGGTGCTTTTTGCATCTACAGATATCCCATACTGGGGGAAAATATCGAAATGGAGGCCCGGGTACGCGCGTGCTTTAGCTTGCGTAAATCTGTTGTATCTGAGAGTGTTCATAGCAGTTTACAGTATAAATTCAGTCAAAGAAACCTATAAAGTAAACTTATCAATTGACAATCATTTTTCGGATGTTTGCTTCCTAGGATTTAGAACAGTCATAGAAGTCGGACATGTAGTCTCCGGCTTGAGTGATGATATCTGCCAGATATAACGTTAGATTTGCTTCGATTTCGATGCCAGTTGAAGTAAAGCCAACAGCACTGTTCTCTGACAGAGGAACGCAATAGTAGCTTTCCTGCAAAGTATCGACACATTTGTCTGTGAATGCATACGCGTTCATAAAGTTATAGCCTGTGTCGTTATAAGTATCACCGAGATATAACTTCCTTGCATCTGAAATTGAAATAATCACTAAGCAAAATATACGTAAGATCCATTTTGAACCCACTTTCATCTGTAAAGACAGGAACTGAAACACAGTTTGGCAGCGAATACTTGGCAAAATAGTAACTGAAAAAGAAACGTCATCTTCGATGGAATCAAGGACTTTTGTAATGAAAACTATTTCTTTCGCTGTTATAGAAGTTATAGTCAAACAGTTTCTTTTTGTTGAGATGTTCGGAGGGCCGCATGCAAAAACCACCCCGTTGAGGAGGGAAGCGAGCTTCAAAGAAAGCTTCAAATCGTGAAGCTCCAATGTTTTAGATTTCGAAAGCTCTGACTATCCGCAAGTGTTTCTACTACCCTTTGGTATGATTGCATCCAATAGGAGCCGAAAGTTGTACAAGAAGCGTCAATCTTCTATGATCCGCTGATAATCTCCAGCGGTCGTCCTTTTTCAATCATTTCCTTTCTCGGTTAATGAAAGGCTCAGAAGCTGTAGTGATTTATCTGGCTCAACAGTGCTAAGACTTTCTCACATAAACATTGAGAATATTTAGAGTTTTGTTAAACTCCACTTTAGACTTGTAGTCAATCGCAATTTCCATGACTTCGGTAAACCACTTGTTATTATCAGAAGCATGCTCAGCACCGTTGTGCTTGTTAAATACGGCTTTCGATTTTTCCACTAAATTCGCAAAGAAAAATGGCATCGAAAGAAAGGCGGTTGCTTGGCGAGAATCATAAGGAGATGATACAAAAAGCTCGAAAATGCAGCTTGTACAGCTTCTCGTTCCTGTTCGCTAAACTTTTGCGGCTAGTTAGACCGCGCAAGATCAAAAACACTGGAGCTTCAAAATGTGGAGCTTTTTTTGAGTTCCCCCCCCCCCCTCCCTAGCCGGAAATGGATATCAATGCATGCGGTTCTTAGGCCAGCGTGCGGTACTTACCCTTAACTTAAAATGCGAAGCGGGCGAACACCGTTTCCATCCTTCAATATAAAGCGCTGTAAAACTCCCTTCGCCGGAATTGTGCATAAGGGCCTTGAACGCAGCAACTTCGCAAATCTTTGAGTTTCGGATTCGCTTGCGTGGAGTCATCCGTAACGATAGCTTCGTAAATCTTGAAAACTGAGTCCGGAAAGGTGTAACAACGAGTATTTTTTGAACCTTCTTTGACCACGGACGAATGGACGCATGCCGGAAAACGTTGAAGATTAAGAGTTTTGTGAAATTTTAAGATGATGTTCAAAGTACAACATGCACACTCCTACGCTGGAAAACGAAATTGGCAGTTATGCGAGTTGGGATTGCAGAGGGAAGCGCCTTTGCGTGCTGAAATTATGGGGAGAGGGGGGAGGACAAACTTTACCTATAGAATCAGTTTAGATTTACATCACCGCTAAAACCCAATAAACAGATTCATCTCGTCATTTTCAAAGCTCAAAGTGCTCCTACGCAAAATTGAAGTGAAACAATAGTATATCTTGGCAAAGCAAACCACGCGCAGCAATATATTTCGAAAATTGCATAATGCAATAACTCTCGGTGCACCAGCTTTTCATATCATTTTTCGAAGCAATGATTAGCTCAATTGCGCGCGCAGATATCTAGCGTTTATTTTGAAAAAAGGTTTTGCATTCCCGTTCACATTTCGAAAGGTCTACGTTAGCCTGTCCTTATAAAAGAGTTGCGTCTAGTAATTCCCTCTTTAGCAGGAGTAGAAGTGAAAGAAAATAGACTTACGCGTTCAGAGGAGGGTCACTATCCAGTGGAGCATCTTGTGAAAAATAAAAAGAATTGTCTTTGTCGAATTGATAGACAATGCTATAGGCAGTGTCGTTGAGCTCAGTAAGTGCCTCCATCTCAATCGCGCCGTCTTTCAGTCGCGGATTTGTTTGAAATTCAGCCGTTGAAGCAATGGATAATGAGCACTGGGGGAATACAAGCTGGCGATCAACAAAGTACACCATGTTGATTCCACTTTGAACTTCATTACCTTCTTTGAAAATAGTGCACAGACTCTAAAGGGTATAACTGAAAGTCACCATGTTATAACAGCAAAAAAGAAAAAACAAACCAGGCCATACTGCACATAAGTGCAATCGCGTTCCACGCAGCAAGTCTGGAGACATTCTTCCTCATTCATCTTCATCTCATATTTCACGCTCGCAAAAAACTCTCCTTGGTAAGGGGTAAAAGTGCATGCGGACGCTGCGCAAATCTTGGAACAGCTTGAATGAACTGAATTGCCACAAAAGCGCGCGACAGCGCGCCTACCGACACATATAAATTCATAAAAGAAGTTTTGTACCTGCATGATGCTCAGGTAGATGATTATAGCGTTGAACGTTCCTATCCACATGATCTAAATTTCACACTTCTTAAGCTCAGCAAAATACATAGAAAGAAGGTTACAGGACAAGGCAAACTTATTTACTCCATTAAAACCATTTGTGAAGAAGAAACTTTGGGAAAGGTTAGGCGTTTACGCTCTCTTTAAATGCTAGTGTGTTACTGGAAACATCCATTAACGGGCACCAAAAAGGTGGTTTTTTGTACGTTCCTCAGCCTTAAATAGCTACCGTTTGCAAGAAAACAGTCTTACCTGAATACAGCAGTACAATAACGTTTGTGCAATTCTTCTTTCACAATAGATACATATTTTGTAAAAAGGAAAGATATTTTGGTGCAATGATTGCTTAAAGGCAGTGTTCAGAGAAATCTGGGCACGTGGAGATCGCACGTGAAAAGTGATTTTGAAAGTCTAACTAAGTCTCAGCCCCAAGCACAACACAGATGGTGCAGCTGAGATCCAAATCAGATCACAGCTGTATTTGGTGGACCACTCGCACCTATGTATGTCCGTTAATGCGTGGTGATACCACCGAGCCCTGCAAACCAATGCAAGTAGTCCACCAAATACTTTATGGGGAAAGTGGACGCTGGAAGCTCCCTTTGAAGCTTTCCCGTCCTCGAGAACTGTTAATGCCTTTTCCATATTTGAGAATGAATTGCGTAGTTGATTAGACCTTTAACACGTTGACGACGAGCCATTTTTTTTGCGGTCTGTCCCTGTGGACGAGACGTTTCCATGCATCCCTACGCGTGGTCCATGTATGTATGCATGCATCCATGCACAAAGTGCAAAATGTGCAAGCCCCGCCCCCTCTGGCAAGCTCCGCCCACTCGACCAAAAATGTCGGAAATTGCCCAAATTTCAAGAATTTATGCCATTTCCGCCACTTTTGAAAAATGGGCGGAGCTTGCCACTCAGGGGGCGGAGCTTGCCACTCAGGGGGCGGAGCTTGCCTGACGGTGGGCGGGGCCTGGCTAGAAGTTGCTTGAAGTCTTTGCGTTCATCTACAGTCTCATCCATGCTTTTTGTGGACAAAAAGGATCCTTGTGAAAGGCATAAAAGTGGGCGGAGTTTGCCAAAAGGGGCGGGGCTAATACATGAAGTACATCTGAGCCTATGTTGATTTTATGAACAAAAACTGAGAGGATTGGACAGATAGTATTGAATTTAAGGCCGCCGCGCACCATTGCGCGGCGTCGTCCACAGGGACAGACTGCCTGCCGCGCACCATTGCGCGGCACTGTCGTCAACGTGTTAACAATGTAATTTTGTCCTCAAGCATCTGCGAAAGCTAATCAAAGTTAATAACTCATACAAAGCCTCTCATTATTTCTGAGCTTTCAGTATACTCGTGAATTACGGTGTTGGCTGATGCCGTGTTGTACAATGGTAAACGGCTTCGTGATTGACAATTCGAGAAGAAAAAGCAAAGGAAATATGGCCCGAGATCAATACCTGTAAGCCCCGAACAAAACGGCAAGATGCTACAGTTTCGCGTCCGAGCGCAACTCGCGTGTATGTGTAAATCATTTCTTTTGACCTGCTTTGGCAAAGTTTTATCGTTTTTTTAGTTTTATTTTGAGTTATATCGTTTTATATGTACACCAGTGGCGTACCGAGGGGGGGGCGGGGGGGGGGGGGGGCACGCCCCCCTCCGAGAATGGGTCGCAAAATTTTTGAAAGTTACTTATAAGGGTTATAAAAATGTGCAAACGACTTGTTTATACTTGTAAATAATTAAAATAATTTTTGAAAATTTTTAAAAATTCAATTTAGCCTTCTAAAAAAAATTTTTTCGGGGGCGTGGCGTCAGCCACGCCCCCTTTTTCCAGATTTTAGGGGTTGGTGACCCGAAAAAATTTTGAGAAGCACCTCTAAAATTTTTTCGGAGTGCGTGGCTAACGCCACGCACCTTCATTCGAAAAATTTTTTTGTCGCGCCCCCCCCCCCCCCGAGCAGAAATCCTGGGTACGCCACTGGTGTACACGAAGGTGCTCTGACCACCCCTAAAATGGTGCACTCTGTTGTGCTCCTTGGTCTAATTTTCTGAGTTATTTCAGGCCGATTTATGATGCTGTAAATCATTCTATACTCCCAATTTCATAGAAGACGCTAAAGTTAGCTCTCCCATTTCTTCATTAAAGCCTATGACGCAACTGAAGCTTTACAAGCAGTGCTGTAGTATACTCAGCAATTAATGTTTGCTTGGTTTAGAATGTTGACAAGAACAATACCGACTGTTTTCTCTCCGCTTTCAGCTTCTTTTTCCTAAAAAGGTCTTTCTTCTTCTTGCTTTCATCAAGACAATTCCGATCGTCGAATGGTACAGGTTTTTTTGCATGTGTGAACAAGGCATCTATTCGTTTTTACTACAGAAATAAGTTTCACGTGACAGATCAAGCAAGTCCGCCATTGTAGATTACTGTGAATACGCTTTTACTACCTAGCAGCACAGTACACTGGCTCACAGAGTAATTGACATCAATCCGAAACAATTCACGCATGATGAAGTTTACTTATAACGACGCGATACGATATCGCCCTTGGCAGCATCAGTCGCATTGTGAATACTGTAAAGACTGTCAGTTATGGCATTAAGTTGTTGAACACAACTTATGAAGCGATTAATGCGATTTAGAACGCCTAGAGATATTGTAACAACCTTACCAATTGCACCACACCAACCACGACACGAAACCGTTTATTGCCGATTACTTCAAACTTGGGTAATTAAACCCTTATTCTGCTTGAGATATATACGTAACAACGAAGCAAATCAACATGAAAAAGTGATGAATTCGCTAACAAACAGTTTGAACTATGATGACATAGGTCAAACAAAATGATGACTTAGATATCTTGTGGAATTTGGACTGCTGTTAAGAAATGTACAAAAGGAGATTAGAAAACATAAGATAGAAGGTTTTCAACGTGCTATCCTACGTATCAGGAATGAGCGAATAGAAAGGCAACACGAGCAATAAGTATGTGATGGAGAATCTGTGAGTAACAATACTGTATATATAGACGTTCGCTTGCTGGCACCATCATTCCTTCTGCGCTCCAATCGTTTTTGTCTGTGGTTCGAGATCTTATTGTCGAAGGGAATGTCGAATCTGGCATCGCTTCATTCCTTAGCACTTCTCAACTTGCTTCTTTCTTTGGCAAGCATTCAAAACATTGGTTGATCGCAATGCGATCCGCGACACGAACGTCTCAGCTGGTGTCGAGGGGTCATCCCGTGCATGCAACTCGCATGCATAATATTGGTCAATTGCATGGCGATCCGCGATAACGCCAACGTGAGCTTGAGCACTTCACTTCCCTCATTTAACTTCACAAGGGGATCGCGAAATAATTGATGATTCTGTGACAGTGTGTACTCCTTTTTACAGTTTATACTACCGCTTCCCGGCACTTTGGCCGGTAAGTTTGTGGGAGGGGAGTAAATCGGCACTCTTGTCAAATAAGTTGCAAGTGCTTTGGCGAGTCTGCTTTTTGTAAAAATATAAACCACTGTTCTATTGCAGTACTGTATTCCAAGATTGAATCAAAATACATGAACTATGGAGCATAGAGAGGCAAGCTTCAAAATCCTATTTACAATGCAAGTGTATAAGGAGTGTGTTAGCCTTTTACGAAAAATTTGTTAGCCGATAGCAAGTAAAGTAAAGGTAGTTAGAGTAGCAAGCAGTTTCCTATTATCGCTTGCATGAATGCAACTGTTTTATAGTAGCTTATAGTAGCTTCTTTTTTATGAGAGTACTTTTAATCACTCATCTGCTGAAACTCTTCAATTCCTCAGAAGTCATTATTCGGCAATATGAAATGTTGAAGAGAACAAGGCTTAGTTAATTGGAGCCTTCCCGAAAGTGCTGATATCATCCACCTCCAGTGTTTGTGACTTTCAGCGAACTGCTAAGACTGAGCTGCCGATATGATGGTAACTTGGAAGTTTACTACAAAGAATTTGAAAACGAATCCATTCGCCTTCCATTAATTTGCGCTTAAAGGCAGTGCGTCGGCAGAATGAGACCCGCCCCCATAATGGAACCTATGAGCCAAAGTTCGGTCTCTTCCTCTGCCACTTCTAACCCCCGAACTTTCAAAGCGAAAGCAGCGCTCATCTCCTGTCCTCTCCGAACCCGCCCATCCCATGAGCGAGTGACTTCCACGGTCAGAGCGCCAGGCGCAATGCTATAAGCATGAGGTCCTGCTACAACTCTGCGTCTTCGCCATGACGGGCTCCGCGTTCACTCGTCCATGGGGTGGGCGGGTCCGGAGAGGACAGAAGATGAGCGCTGCTTTCGTTATGAAATTTCGGGGGTTAGAAGTGGCAGAGAAAGATCGAACTTTGGCCCATAGGTTCCATTATGGGGGGCTCCTTCTCTGTGACCTTGTTTTGCCACGGGTCTCATTCTGCCGACGCACTGCCTTTGAGCAGCGAACCTACACATCTTGATCAGGGTGGTCTGCTGCGAATTATCCTCAGTTTCCAACTTTCTTTGTCAGGAACGCCAACAGATTCCTGTTTGTTTTCTTCAAACTTTCTATCCATACTACAAAATTTCATCCACTCCCCACACAGTACTTCTTCCCCCCCCCCCCTCCTCCCTCCAAGAATGGGTCGCGGTATTTTTGAAAATTACGTACATGAGGTATAAAAATGTGGAAGGGATTTGCTAATACTTGTAAATGATCGGAACAATTTTCAAAACTGCTTACAAAATTCTAAGCAGCCTTTATATTCCGGCTTAGATATCCGGATTTATCATAAGCCCGCAAGTCAACGTGGA